TGTGTGTGTGTGAGTGTGTGTGTGCGTGTGTTGGTGCATGTGCGTGTGTGGGTGGTACACAGCACACACTGGCCCCTGGTCCAGTGGACCCGGACATCTTATATGTAATAGAAATGTGTAGGGGGGGTGTATGGTGTGTGGTCATTAAATATGTATTCTGATATATGTTCTTCACAGAAAATGAGCCAAAGCCAGTGAGTCTCAGTTTGAAAAATAAATAATTATATCATTTTTCTTTTATTAAAAAGTGAAAACGGGTCCCACAGACCCGAACACTACACAAGGGTTAACGACGTAACACAAGGGGGCGACATGTACACTGAAAGAACCTGGATTTTTTTTTTTTTTTGCTTTTCCAGATCTTCTCTCTCTCCACTGTTAGCAGAACTAGTTCACTAGTTCACAAGGCAGCAACCTTAGCAGGGCGGGGGTTGGGGGAAGAGTCAAGCTCAAGTTCAACCACCTTGTGGGAGTGGAGGGGGGAGGGAGGGGAGAGGGAGGTGGGACCTTACCTCTGTGGTTTGCATCCGTGACCCTCACCCTTTGATAGACTGTTGACTTGAGATCCTTGTCTTCCCGTTCAGTGCTCTTCGACCGTAGCAGACCAGGACAGCACTCTGGTCTGCGGACCCGTAATAGACTTGACCCCATGACCTCTAAGTCTGACCCCAACTTCACCACCGTCCAGATGAGTCAATAAATGATGACAAATTGCTTAGGCATGAAAAATACAAAGCTAAATGTCAGTTTCGAATTAGCCAGAGTTAGCCGAAGACGGCTAACGATTTAGAGCAGATTCCAGAAGATTCAACAGATCTGTAGGAACCAAGCAGCGTCAGGTTCTTTTTTTTTACGTTAATCTGACCATCGGTTTGAATGATAGTGTGAACGGCTGTAGTGACAGAAAAAAAAATCTATGAACTTAAAAAAATAAAACAAATAAAAATACACTTTTTTGTCTGTCATGTCATGTCATCACCGCGGCCTCGGTTTTACGCTAAGCTAACAGGCCTCGAGCGTCCGGCTCAATATTAATGTGCAGACCTGAGAACAGGAGCGGGTCTGACAGATCATCCGCCTCTCATCCGCTCCTTCCTTCCTTCCTCCGAGCCGTTTCATTGGTCCCCGGAGGACGGGGAGGTGTGTGTATGTGTGTGATTACAGTAATGTCTTAATGACAGATGACATCACGCTGTCAAGTCAGACCATCTGTCTCCGCTGGGGGAACATGAATAAATGATAAAACCCCACTTTTCATGTCAGGATATGAAACGATGCTGTGATGGGAGCTCAGATCCACTGACCCCCGGTCTGTCTGAACACACTCGGCTCTTACTGGAGCTGTGAGGACACTGCGCGCTCCCCAGGTCCTTAACCTCAACACTTAACCTAAACCTGCCTCCAGCCTTCGGGGGTGTTGCATCAGGGCAGCACCAGCAGGCAACAACCCGAGGTCCCACGCTGCTATACGTCGATCTACGGGGTGGGGGGGGTATAGTGAAGAGTCAGTTCAGTGACTAAATCATTTTTTCTCGGACTATTTTACAAAATATAAATGGGGACGTCCCGTATAAACTTTGTGCCAAACACTTCCGATATCAACCGATACCGATATAGCTAGGCGGTGTCGGACTGGTGGTTAAGGAAGTTAAGAGTGGCCTCCTCAAAAAGGTGATGGGTTAACACGTGTTTCACAATAATTTCTTGCAATACCCCCCACACACCAATCGGCAATACAGGGGTCCCTCGTTTATCGCGGTAGATCGGTTCCGAGGCCCTGCCGCCAGAACTGAATTTCCACAAAGTAGTGACACCATATTTATGCGCAATAAAATGATGACGAGGAAGGTGACGATGACTTTTACTGCGCGGACGATGATTGATTTTACGCCTCTCCACAGGGTGGTGCCATTTCTTGGAGCACCTCTTCCATGGTTTCCGATGGTGTATCCCTAGTTGTAGCAGGAACCAGCTCTTTTTTTTCAAGGCTGCAAAAACATTGCGATCAGCAGTTGCTTCCGCTGCTTCTTTTTCCAGTCGAAGACTAGCTTGTAGGCAGTGATGATGTCGTCGATTTTGTCGCAAAATTGGACCGATCGAACCATATCGTCGTCCCATTTCTGTGACATCTCTTGCTGATCCAAATCCGGGATACGGTATATTTTATATATACAGTTTTCAAAAACCCGCAAAGTTGTGAATCCGCAAAAGATGAACTACGAAATAGCAAGGGGGTCTACTGTATTTATTTATTATTCTGTATAAACCACTGTACGAGTTGCTGGCATCAGCGACCTGCATACGATCCCCTGATTATTAAAATAGATTAATAAAATGAGCTGCAATGCTGCCATCTAGTGGCTTTCACTTTCACAGACAGCGTTTTTTTTCCCTTAAACTATTTTTAGGGCACACACCGTTTGGCAAAACCAAGTCATTGCATTATCGGGTTTTCATCATCGGAGGAAAAAAAAACGATAACGATTCTCACATAATTACGCTAATATCAGGTGACAGATATTATCGGACATCCCTAAATATGGACAACCAATTCGACTGTGAATAGGATCTGGTTTCTAGAGGAAACTCCATAAACGATCAGGTGGCCAAGGCTCAGTGGTCACTTGACAGCTAGTGGATTTAAACCTCAAACCTTCCGAAGCCCAAGTCCACTTCCTTGACCACCACTGCCCCACCTCTGGGCAGCTGATGAATGATAAATTAGTCCAATTTTTTAAAATTAATTTTGAGCCACAGCAGATGTGTGCAGTGAATCAACCGGACCAACCGGTGGACACCGCTGTCCACAGGACGTGGCCCACAAACACGGGGAGAACCTACAAACGCTCTACAGAAAAACTGGGATTTAACCAATAAAACCAGTGATCTGGGTCACGTCCAGTTACATCATCGTTGAGGTTCTCATGATGCCCATTCATCGTCATGCCCCCCCTAGGGGAGAGAAATATTTCCACGCCACTTCAGCCCGGGATAATATTTTTATCTGTACAAACCACTGTATGAGTTGCTGCTCCCTAGTGACCGGAGGCTTGTTATCATTCAAGCATTACAGCAGTGGTTACACGTATGTCCATTGGAAGCCCCTCACGCCCCCAACCCTGGTACCTTACTGCGCCCCGCAGGGTCCCCACCCCACTATTTGCGAAGTACTGGGTTATTTTTTTAATTGTACTTTTTGATTTTTTTCCCCCTAGAAATCTGCACTTATCCATGTTCTGACCCCGTGGTACTAGAAACATGAAGTACCAAGAACTGCTTTTACAATCAGTACTAAAAAAAAAAGTACTATCTGGTTTCCCCACTGATGTCAGTTCCGGGATTTCACCGAATCAGGAAGTAGCATTGAGGCGCTAACTGGTGGCTAACGTTCCTGCCGGACCAGGTTAACCATTCACGCTGAACTGACTTAATTCTGAATTATCTTTTATACGTGACTTTAAGTATTATCATCAAATCTTTGTCCAACGTTAATTTTATTTTATTTTTTTAGCGAAACAAACACTCAGCACACGGCGGGTTCAGAAAGAATGAGCCTGTTTATTAGCCCTCTTATAAATCATCATTCTTCTTCCTCTTCCTTGGCCATCGACGGTCTTGTGGCTCGGGTACATACACAACTCTGTCAATAGAATCTAATAGAAAATCTGCAGGTTACAGTAAGGACATCTGTTCATTAGAAAAACAACAGAAACTATTCAACCAAAAAGCTCCCGGTCGCCTCTTCAGGACGAGAGGTTGGGATAAGAAGGATCTAAACCGGACTGAACAGGCCACCGGGTGTTCCTGCGACCACAATGAGACTGGCGCCCCCCAAGTTTAGAACCTGGCCAGGACACCACCCGGGGGCCAGCATCGTCTTTAATAACTTTTGAGGAATTTTAATCCTCATAATTTTTTAACCTGTCCCTGTTTGAACGCGGCCACGTTAGCCGTCGTCGACAACGACCCGCTGAAAAGACAGATCGGTCGGATCTGACTGACGTTTTGAACGTGGCGGCGTTCAGACGGGGCTGAGAAGAGAGAAAGGGACAGTTAGCCTAGCAGTCTTGAGAATATTAACATGCTCTTTTGCAAATCATTCGACACGAAAAATGTGAATTTAACAGATTTCTTTTCTAACAGGAGTACATTCTTGTACTGGAGAGCACCCGTCAGAGTGGAACAATTACACAGACCATATGATCTTAACAGAAAAAAATAAAAATAAAAAACCAAACCAAAACAAAACTGAATATTCAGAAGTGGATTAACAGATTTAAATAGACCCCTGTACAGGAGAACTTATTATTATTGTCATTATTATTAATATTGTCATCGTCGTCACACATACAAGAAGCAGAACCACGGATTTAGTATTCAAAAAAAAAAAAAAAAAAACAAGAACCAGATTTCTCCCTCCACAACAGCAGACCTCTCTGTGGTCACACACACACACACACACACACATCAGCTGACCGACGCTGCCCACGGACGACAGGCAAAACACAGCAGGTTACAAATCACAGCAACAGTCAAAAAAAAAACGACGCCCAATAAATCGCGCAAACTTCACATAAAAACGCAGACCGACGCACATCACCGGAACATTCTTACCGGAAACGGATTTTAAAAATGGTTTAAACAAAGTCAGAATACAACCCCCGGAAAGAAAATTCTGGATTTTTAAATTTTTTTTAACCTTTACATGTGCGTGTAACTTAACACGCGCGATACTCAACTCAACACAACACAACTCAACACAACACAACTCAACACAACACAACTCAAATCAACACAACACAACACAGCACAACAACAACAAACGGATCACACGGTTAACGCTGCGGTAAAAATTTACGGTGAGCTCCATTAAATCAAACACGTTTCGCAACTTTTCATTAGTATGGAAAAAAAAAATTGGATAAAAATGACCGTCCCGTCCGCGAACGTATCAGACGCGGTGCACCGGTTTTTTGTTTTCAGTTAATGGTCAATATTACATTAAGCAAATGTTAAAACCACAGCTTCTGTTTGTCCGATAAAGAGCCCAAAACACTACGGTTAACGACGCAGCAGAAAAAAAACACAGCGGAAATTCCAACGCCCGTCACAAAATGTTGCTACGGCGAAGCGATCGCAGACAAATAGTCATGAGAACGGCTGTTAATGCGAGAGGAGTAAATGTAGCTGCAGTTCAGCTGAAAGGCCACCGGGGCGTCAACGGTCACAACATCAGGAGGACGGGTTTAAGGGACATGGACGCAGAAGTCACGATGTCCGTCCACGATTTACTGTAAATACATTCATTTTCTACGCCTTTAGCAACAAAAAGGATGAAAAGAAAGTTTTTTTTTTGTGAAGAATTTGAAAACTCTACGTAGTGTTACGACTGACTTAACGCTACGCGATTCAGCTGTTTTTTAACATTCTCTTCCATTAGCAACAGTAGTACATTTGTACCCAATCAACAACAACAACAAAACCCAAACAAATTATCTGTAACATTAAGAGCTAAAATTCAACTTTTTTTTGTCTTGACCTTTGTCTTCTGCAAATGAACGCGAAATGAGCATCTTTGGTCTTTGATGGTTTTAGATGAAAAAAATAATTCCGGCGGCGTTAAAATTCAAAATAAAAAAGCCTCGTGACAATGCGAAAAAAAATCACGATATTCATTTGTAATTGCTAGACCACTGCATTTGCCGTTTGTTTGCAAATGTGGCATTGCGCTAAGCTATGCTAAGCTAAACTAACCGCACAACGGAGAGACAGAAATGGCCACAACATTTCATCACACACGTTTAGTAAAAAAATACTGGTAGATGCTAACGCTAACGTGAAGCGCTGAGCCAACAATCTGCAAGAACACATTTTCACCGCTATGCTAACGTTTCACGGACACAACACACACAAGATCACCCAATGGAAACATCTCACGTTCATGCAGCGAACGTACAGTTGAGGTAACGCAGTGTTCTGTTACTAAGTTTTACTACGGCTTCAGCTTATTTCGGAGAACACGAGGCTAACAGATTTGAGAACTTCACTGCTGAGTCCCGAACGCTAGGTAGAAATGTATCACAAAACGACAAAAATAGTTTCTCTGTGTAAATAGACCACCCTCGCCTCGTTGCTAACTCGGGAGGGGAGAAGGTGGAGGGGGTGGCGTGGGCGGGGGGTACAGAGTGTTTGACCACAGAGAGATCTGGCTTTTTAGACAACGCGATACAGAAATCCTCATTTATTCATCATCACATCATAAAAACTAAAGGATCGCTATAGTGATACAGGAATAAGATCTATCATCGAAAAAAACCAAACACACAAAAAAAAACACGTCATTGCACCTCCAAGATGGCGACTAAACAGTTAAAAATTAAATGCAAACAAATAGGCCCAGCGAGCACAAATTTAGTACAAAAACAGTTTCGTCTCCTAACTGTAAAACATTACATTTCCATCTGACGCTATTAAAATATTTCTATGGCAAAAAAAAAAAAAAACAAGAGTCAACACACACAATCTGACGCATGCTTTAAAATATTACCTTTAACAAAATAATAATAATACATTTGATTTTTCTTACTCAAGACTGCTAAGCCTTACACCGTTTTCTTATTGGAAAATAAAACTAGACAAAATATAGATTATACTGGATTTTGTGTGTGTTTTTTTTTGTTCAAAGCCACACTGATACACCTTTAAGTTCAAGTTTGATAAAAAAAAAAAAAAAAAAAAGAAAAAACAGGTCTACAATGGAGAGACCAGAGGCTAGTCCAAAAAAATCTGCCCGACAAAATATCAACTTTGTAAGGTTAAAAAACAGAAAGAAAAGAGTTCGTGATTTTTTTTCAGTTAATCCTTAGTTTTTCTCTACAAAAGGAAGGAGGAAGCGGCGGAGCGTTGCTACAAAACCCCGATTTCTGTTGCCGTTGACCACCACTCGAGGCCTTCACCAGGAGGGAGGGGCCTCTAGTGATCCTGCAGACACAGGAAATGACATCATCAGTGCTGAGATTCAAGAGACTAAACATTTGTAACAAAGCGACGCGGGTTTCCTTCTGTTGCCGTTTCTCAGACTTAAAAAAAGTTCAACCCAGGACCAGAACCAGAACCGGGACCGGGACCAGGACCAGGACCATGGTCTGGTTCTGAGCTCGTTACCTGTATCTGGGCCGGGTTCCACAGGTAGGGCTGCTGTCTGTAGTATTCTGCTAAAGCTGCAGTGTAGTCTGGCACTGAACTCTGCTGGGACGACTGACCTACAAACACCACAGACACACAGATGAGCGCAGGTCAACGTGATCAAAGACGCGGCTCGAGGCCACCGAGTGGTACGGAACTAACAAAACAAAATTCCAATCACAACTTGAGCTCAACTTTCTCTGCTTCTGGGTTACTTCCACGATGGACTTTCTACCAGGGGGGATTATATGGGGAGGTATCACCTTGTGAAAAGTAAGTTAGCTTAGCACAGGTGTCCCACGATTTAAATTGTCAATCCGATTAATCACACTCGCTCGCGATGTTCACGATTAATCGTGATTGTAATCAACTATAATTAATCTAAATTAATTCCTAAGTTAGTTAGTATATTGCTTAAGCAGAAGCAACAATCCAAATGATGGAATTATCGACATGGAAAAAAGTTAAGAAATTATGTAAAAACAACTTTCTTGGATTTAAGTTGAAACTAAAACATTGTTGCATTGTGATTTTTTTTTTTAAGCTTGAGCTTCTTTGTGAAAAACTGTGTGTTCGAATAACCGCGTGCGTATCAGAGCGGTGTTAAATATGGCATTTGCCCTTTCACTTCACTCTGAAACTGTCTGCAGCGCCCCCTACTGGGTTCACTCCGACGTTATTCCAGGAGAAGTTTCAGTGCATGAAATGCATATAGACAAACAGTACGTGTGAGATTTCTTTTTTTTTTTTTTTTCCACATGCGGCCTCTGGGGGCAGTGTGGCTGGATCTCGTCTCTACGTGTTGTTTATATTTACGGTGAGGGGCGTGTCATACTCTGTTTCTTATAGTAGTCCTCCCAGGCCTTACTGTAGTCTGTCATCAGGTTCTGAGGCTGGCTCTGCTGACCTGCAAGACACAGGAAGCACAGACACAGATGTAGACGACGAGGCCGACACTGGACGTCAACAACTCTCTGGACGTCAACAACTCTCTGGACGTCAACGACCTCAAACCTGCGGCGTCGACTAATTATTACCGCGTTCATTTGGAGTCTCAAGCTGAGGACACGCGACACAAACTGTCACAGATCGTCACTGGCGGAACTCCAGGTTCTGTTCACCTATTTCTCATGAGTCAATCTCAGGCCCGGGGCCCCAAATCTGGCCCGCGGTTTAAATAAACTTGGCCTGCAAGGTCAACTTCAGTTGTTCATGATGAACAATAAAGACAAGATTCTATTTTTTCCCAAATGTGAAAGTTCGGTAACTTTACCGCTTCCTGTTCAGAATCGTCACCCTGTGTACCCCAACACCGGGGGGCGTGGGGCTCAAAAAGGAACAAGAATCAATGATTTGCCAAACAAGCTAAAGCCTCGAATGCAGACGTCAGTCGCCCCACAAAGGTCAAAGGTTAACGGAGATAACCAAACACACCGGCTGGGTCAGCGAATCGGTTCACACCAACCGTTTTCAAATCAGATTCAGTTCCAAAGCGAAACGCACAATGACACAGACTTCGCCCAAGTGGGAACTGTGGGTAAAATCGAACAATTTATTTTATTTTTTCAGTCATGCGTCCTCAGCTTCCGTCCCCAATTCCGACATCACGCACAGACATGTCGGTCAATAGATCAGATTAGATCAGATTAGCCTGAGCCTCATTGATCCCACACTGTGGTCAGGGTCCTGGTCTTGTTGCCTATTTTAGCCTGTGCTATCAGATCTATTAGCGCTAATGCAGAGCATGTGAGCGAGGAAAGAGGAGAAGGAAGAGGAGAAGGAGGAGGAGGAGGAGGAAGAGGAGGAAGAGGAGTAGGAGGAGGAAGAGGAGGAGGAGGAGCAGGAGGAGAGCCGGGCATTAAACCTGCGACGTTCCTCCGAGCAGCGGAAGAAAGTGAACTGCTCCGTGGGCACAGAGGGGGCAGATACTGGGATTGATGTGTTTGAATACTGCCCCCTCAGGATTCACCCAGTGGAGACGCAGACGCCTTTTGTTGAGGGAAACCAAAACATCTCTAATCGACTAATTAAAGTCATCAAGACAACGAGCTCCGCTCTTCGTTAAACTCATTTCTTTGTCCCTCCTCACACTCGGATGTGGCTGTTGTCGAGGACTTGCCTAGCTTCTTATAGTACTGCTCCCATGCTTTAGAGTAGTCCATCTGTCCTGTCTGAGGCACAGTGTGACCTACACACACACACGCACGCACACACACACACAGAAACAGACACACACAGAAACACACACAAAGAGAGCTGCTGGACTCAATGGAAACGGCGTGTGTTTTTGCATGTGCCTTCCACTCTGAGTGTGTGTGTGTGTTTCTGTGTGTGTGTGTATACCCCTACTTGATGAAGTGCAGTATTCAAACCTGTGGTTCCCAACCTTTTTTTTTTGGCTTGTGAACCCACCATTTAAAATCACAAATTTCTGGGAAACCTACGTGGGGCCACGACCACCGTGTGTTGTAAAACACATACATATACAAATATATATATATACACATATACACAGATATATACATATATACATCTATACACATACACATAAATATATACATCTTTACACATACATATATAAATACATATACATATATATGCACATATACACACATATATATACACATATACACAGATATATACATATATACATCTATACACATACACATAAATATATACATCTTTACACATACATATATAAATACATATACATATGTATGCACATATAGAGATATATGCACATATACATATACACATATATATGCACATATACAGTATATGCACATATACATACATACACATATACCGTACATACATACACATATTTATGCACATATACATATATATGCACATATACAGTATATGCACATATACATAAATATGCACATATACATATATATGCACATATACATAGACATATACATATATATATGCACATATACATATGCACATATACACATATATATGCACATATACATAGACATATACATATATATATGCACAGATACATATACACATACAGTATATATGCACATATACATAAACACATAGATATGCACATATGCATATACACATATATACGCACATATATGCACATATACACACATATATATACACATATATACGCATATATACATATACACATATATACGCATATATACACACACACACACATATATATATATATATATATATATATATAAAATTTATATTGACATCAATGCCAGTATTATTATTAATAAGTCTGTGTGTTTCATTACCAGGGTCTTGTTGTCCAGGGTTTTGCCAGTTGGTCTGGTAGGTGTTTCCCCAAACTCCAGTCAGGAAGGTCTGACCACTGCCACAGCTGCACGCGCACAGACACACACACACACACAAAGTCAATTACTTGGACACTTTAACAAACAAACGCAGTAGATGAATCAACATTTGCCTCTCGGTTCATCACAACTCGCCTCTAGCGAGGGATTCAAACATGGGACCAGGCACTGATCCTTATCATAAACAATATATATATATATTTTTTTAAAATTATTTTAGACCTGAATGCATTTTAAAAACATTCTGACCAACAACAACAGCGAGTCGTGTACAGTGTCTTACTTCTGGTGTGAGGTGGGGCCCTGGGTGAAGGGACTGAAGCCAAAACCTCCATTGCTCATGATGCCTGACCCCTGTGGGCGGAAAGAGGAAGTGCTTTAATAACTGAATGTTGTTTGAATCCATTTTCCCCAACTTATTTTCATTTAGTAAAATTCTCTCTGTCGTACTCCGATCTTGTCATCTATGAGCTGGCGGGCCAGGTCCATCTGCTGGGCGGTGCCCCTGATGGTGAAGACCCGGGTGTTGGGGTCAGTGGAGGGGGGAGGATTCCTCTGCAGCTCCACGTGAGCTCCGGACTGCTGGTTGATGTTCTTAATGGTCTCTCCTCCTACACACACACACACACACACACACAGACAGTGACTCGACAACATCAGTCATCAGCGTTAACATGTTAGCGCCCCCCCTCACTCTACACCCCCAGGAGAGAGTTGTGACATAAGAGAGCTAAGAAATACAGCTAGTTAGCCACTTGCTAGCATGTAGCACGTTTGTGACACACACACTGTAGCTGATCCACGGAGCTCTGCTCCAATGTTTACGACGGATCAAAGGGTGACAATATTAACTTGCGAGTTGCATGAGAGTGTTGTTCACTTTGCAATTACAAGACAACAAAAAAAATGCAGATTATTGTTTGTTGTTGAATTTTTCCATTTATTTTTTTATTAAAAAATGTGATAGTAACATTTATTTTTATAGTGAAATTTAATTTTAATTCATTCACATTTCATTAATTTTTTTCTAATCCACACACACACACACACACACCCACACACACACACCATATGGGGTCTAAAGCTCAGGTACTTGACATATCTTTTCACATCCGTGCTTTTATTTGGAAAGCTGCTGCTCGACCCTCTTGACCTCTAAAGACAATTTCGCGCACACACACACACACTCGTAATTGTTTTGAAGAGGTTTCTAAATGGTGAGCGAGTGCAGGTTGTCTCTTGTTCGTTATTTCTGAAGGTCTTTGAAGTTGTTTACTGGCCTAGATTAAAAAAAAAGTAATATGTGCGCTGAATGTAATATAACAAAAACTAAATTAATGTGGCCATTTAAACGTCGAGTATTTTCGGATTTTATTTCTTAATTGAACCTATTGTGGTGGATAATGACCAATGACCTGACCAATCACGAGACGACTCACTCGTCACCTGACGACTCTTCCTCCTACCTTTTCCGATGACCAGGCCACACTTGTCTGCAGGTATAGTGTAGGTGACTTCCTGTAGGGGTCCTGGGGAGCCCATGGTCCAGTCGTTGCGACCTCTGACCCTGCTACCCCGCAGGGCAGATCCAAAGCCATCACGCTCCTAGAAAAAAAAAGAAAAAACACTTTTAGTACGTTTAAATAAATTATACATGACCAGTGAGGGTCAGGGGTCAGAGGTCAGGGTTGTGGTTGTTGGTGGGGGTTCTGGGGTTAAGAGTAGTCTGTAATACAGCCGGGGTTAGTTCGAGTAAAAAAAAAACAACGAATGTCTGTGTGTGTGTGTGCGCGTGCGTGCGTTACCTGTGCAGTCTGCACAAGCTCATTAATGAGGTGGACGGCATGCTGGCAGCGGTCAGGCTGTCCCATCACCATGGCAACGCGCTCTGGACTGATGCCATCATCTTTAAGAGCAGTAGACAAAACGAAAAAGTGAAATTGAACTTTTTTTGTCGTTATGTTTTATCTATCCGTCTGCCTGTCTATCTAACTGTCTTTCTATGTCTGTCTATCTATCTACCTGTCTGTCTATCTATCTACCTGTCTGTCTATCTATCTGTCTACCCCATCTATCTACCTTTCTGTCTGTCTGTCTACCTGTCTGTCTATCTGTCTGTCTATCTATTTATCTGTCTACCTATCTACCCCATCTATCTACCTGTCTGTCTATCTATCTGTCTACCCCATCTATCTACCTTTCTGTCTGTCTGTCTACCTGTCTGTCTATCTGTCTACCCCGTCTGTCTGTCTGTCTCTCTCTCTCTCTCTCTCTGTCTCTCTCTCTCTCTCTCTCTCTGTCTCTCTCTCTCTCTCTCTGTCTGTCTGTCTCTCTGTCTGTCTCTAACTGATCTTCGTCACATTTTAACTAATCTGAGGATAAAGGTTTTTAAGGTGGATTATAACTAGATAAACACAGATCTTGTCACTGACTCATTCTTGTGTCAACAGACCCAGACTGATCTGGTTCAGTGTGAACAGATCTGATTGACACAGCGTTTCATTGAACTGCTCTTCTTAACAACAGCTCAGTCCTGCTTTGAGCTACGGAGCCGATCGGCCGCGAACTCCGGTCCAGACCGACCTGCTTTGAACTGGATCCGAACCCCCGCGTCGTTCTGGATCTTCTTGATCATCTCTCCGTTTCGGCCAATCACGATGCCCACGGCAAACCTTGGAACTGGAACCTGGCATGGACATGACGGACAGAGGCCAATCACGTTTAACTGTTGTCTGCACAAGAGTGTGTGAGTGTGAGAGAGTGTATGTGTGTCATACATCCAGGCTCGTTCCTCCCAGTCGGGCGCTGAAGTCATTACGTCCTGACCGGAAATCTCCATCCTTCTCCCGGATCACCTCCAGAACCAACTCCCTCGCAGCCTGAGGGGGGAGACAAAGTCACCTCGGTTACATCGCAATACTTTTAAATCATTGTTTCCAAAAGACTGGGTCGGGACCCTCAGGTGGGTCACAAAATATTTTTTGGGGGTCGTGAAAAAAAACAAAACAAAAAAAAATCTGTGGTCCAATAGAAAACGTCTGATCTCCACCTGAACTTTGTAGGGGTCTCCAGAGATGCGTAGAGGTTTGTCCGCTCCGGTCGGCATCGGACCGTCCTGTATCATCATCATCTTGACGCCTGCTCTCTCCTGGAAAAAAAAAACAAAATAAATAAAATAAAAATCACATTAAAGACATATAAATATTTATATATCGACGAGCGTGGTGGTCCGAAGTCCCACCTGCAGCTGTTTGATGGTGTCCCCTCCTCTGCCAATCACAAGTCCGACCTTACTGGCCGGGATCAGCATCTCCTGCACAGCGGCCTCGCCGTCGCCATGGAAACCCGGGCCATTTCTGCAGCGGTCCACGATCTGGATCAGGAGCCGCTTGGCCTGCCTGTGGGCACAATCAAAAAAGTTTCAGGGGGTGGAGTTGCAGGTGGAGGTGGAGGTGATGGCGTGACGCGGGAGGCGACACTCACTCAATGCTTTCTGGCGTTCCGGTCAGAGAACATGGCCGCTCCATGAGACCTCCGCTGTCTTCGCGGGCGTGGGGCGGAGAGACAGAAAGGAGAGAAACGTTACGTTTACAGATTTCTTCAAACTGACCACCTGGAGCTTTACAGAATTTTAGCCAAACGCTAACGTCGTCTACTGCAGCTAAATACCACTGAATGGCAGTTAGCCTTGTGACTTAGATATTTGGTCGACAGTTTCACCAAGAGTTGTCTCCGCAAACTTTTTTTTTCTTTCCCAGTGGTCAAACCTGTCTGAACTCTCCCGAGGCGTTCAGGTACTTCCGCATGTTTCACTCTCTGTCCGTGAAACGCCTTTCACTAAGCTAACGGAGAAGCCTAGCGGCTACAGACGCTGTACTCGGGTCTCACCAGAAGCGATTTGAATCTTGCAGCCGGACTCCAACTGGATCCTGGTGATCTGTTCTCCTCCTCTACCGATGACTGTAGCGGAAACAAAGATGTTAATGTTACACATTTAGTTACGATTTTTCAGGAATCATCACTTTTTACAAACCAAAAAAACATGGCCAATACTACTGTAGTACTGTGTACTGACACCAATACTGCCTCCTAACCGGAGGACAGTATTATGTAATGAAATTCTATGACTGAGTATCAGGTCACTGCAACGGCACATGGTTTCAGGTACTGCATAAGTACCGGGCTGGATACTGGTACTAATACTAGATCTGTGAATACTGAAAATGTTCTGATGTGTCGGGGACATGTAGAGAAACGTTTCAGATATTGCGATAAAATTTAACATTAAAATAAGGTCAAATTTCGACTTTGAGATATGCAAATATGTCAAAACACATAAATATATAGACACATACATATATTTTTTAAATATATGTATATATATGCCAAAATAGAAAATATATATATAAATATATAGTTTTATATTTGTATTTACTTGTCACACACACTGTTACCGCTATCACTTTAGCTCTCGTTACATTTAATGGCCATGCGGGTGGAGAAGTCGTCGGCACACAGGACACGGCGAAAGGTCAAAAGGGGTCGTGTACTTACTGAAGCCCACCATTCTGTCGGGAACCTTGTAATCCTCTGTGATTACCCTGCTGCAGCACACACACACAGACAGAAACACACAGAGAAAAATGTAGCAATCTTAATGTGTCAATAAATGATTATGTTCATGTAGGTAACAGATCTATAACACTCATCTGGACTACACCACGGGGGAGAGCTCTCTCTCTCTCTCTCTCTCTCTCTCTCTCTCTCTCTCTCTCTCCACACAAAGCACATTCAACCTCAACTACTACAGCTATGGACAGGTTAGCATGTTAGCTGCGTTTACCTTTGATGGCCCATGGCTGCTAGCTGATTACCTGCAAACGGAGACAGACGGACAGGAATGAATAAGCTGTGTACAAAACTGACGTGTATTTAAAAAAAAAAAAAAAACGCCGATTTGAAAACAATCTGCAATCGACTGCTGTTTTTCAAATCGATATTCGTGTTCACAGCTGGACACAGGGATCATGTGACCTTTTGTGATCAGCGATAGATTTTTTGGGGGGGAGTTTTGTGTCTACTAACGCCTCCTGTAGACCAGTCGTTAGCAATGGTAAAGATGCTAACTAAAAAGTTAATTCAATCTTCAGGCTCAACAGTTTTCCGATTGGGTGGTGGAAGATGGACAAAGAGTGGGTCCCCGACCTCGTTAAGGCATGGTGAAATCTGAAAGACGTATTATTTTGAAAGGAAGGACGTAAATGAAAATGACTGGATTTCCTTTTAAAATCGATGTGGCCTGATACTGAATGATCCATGGACCAGAAAGGGTCCAGGAACCTGGGGTTGGGAACCCCTAAACTGCATATGGTTTTCGATCACGTAATCTCATGACGCAGTGCAAACAACGGTAACTGTTTTGTCCCTCTCGCGTGTCTCGTCCTCACCTCCGTCCTCTCCTGGTCGTTTCTGTCCAGGGTAATACAGTGAGGCGTCAACACTTCCTGATGAGCTGTTGAGGTGGGAAATGGTTTCTCCGCCTATTTTACCCACCATCTGAAAGAGAGGCGGAGAGAAACTTGATTAGCAAACTTAGCTATGATGCTAACAATCCATTTTTTGATTTATATTAGAAAATACCATGAAACACAAAAGGTACAAATCGCAGATCCTAGATCAGCAGCAACAATTGAAAAAATGTCAGAATGAGCAGTAGCGCCCCCCACTGGCATGTATTATGACTACAGGGGTTTTTCTCAGTTCAGTTTCAATCACGAAATCATCACATCACATTCATAACGGGACTAATTTCTTCCCAACTCTGAGCTGTATCAATTATTATTCTGCTTTGGCCTGAATTACAGTAAATTACAACCTGGCCCATGGAGTCAAATTACAAAAATTAAAAAAAAAAAAAAGGAAACGTGGAGTCTTGATGCTGAGAGCTGAGGCTGATCTGAAGTTTAACAAGACTCAAATTATACGGCGAGAGCCCAGTGTTTGCCCAATGTGGGGAGATTTTCGCCGTAAAAGTTGAAAAAGTCGACCTCGCAATGTAAATCAAGAGCCGTAGATTACAGTCTCTTATGGTTTGACACACACACACACACACACACACACACACACAGACAGACCAGGAAACCTAATTTAACCAACAATTTGACCACATCCGAAAAGGAGGCCAAACACGTCAAATGTTGTCATTTTCGCAATTTGGTGGAAAAAAAATATTAAGAGACGATTACGAGTCTCTCCGTAGAGATTACCTCTCTCCGTAACCTTTACACCAGTAACTCCGATCGGTGCCATACAATCACAGCAATGGCGGAAACCTGGAGAAGCTAATTTGGCTAATTGGTGTGCTACGGGAGATCATTAGGTGTGCGGCGGAAAATTATCCAATGCCCGATAACTAATATTTATCCTCTTCCACTAAGTGGCAGTAGATGGTTATAAAAACTAAGAAAAGATATTTGTGTCTTTCTTCAATTCCTGCCAGTATATCAGCGTTGTCTTCTGCTAAACGGGAGTTTAGCATTTTTTAGTAAATTTAAACGGGAATATTACTATATTTCATCCTATATACTTTTTGTGTGATTTTTGTTCGGTGGTGTGCCGATGTTACATATGTGCAATGTTAAGGTTGGGAAACACTGCGCTACAGTAAGCTATATCTGCCTTTACGTTTTTCATTTTTTAAGTTTGTTTGCAAGGTTTATGCGTACGCACACGCCGTGGGTTCTCATTCCGTTTTCGGAATGTCCGGTTCAAATTTATCCATCGTTATTATGTTACAGCGTGGTTGACACAGTGCCACATACAGGCCCGGCATATGTACTACAGGTACTGGAGTTGTATTCTGCGGCTTTTGTTTGCGCCGCCTCCACCTAAACGCCGCGTATCCGGAGGCTACAGTCGCCGCATTGTATCGTCGCCGTGTAAACGAGGGCACAAGAAAGGAATTTTTATATAATCCTGTACGTGTGGGAGGAAGCGGCAAAACACTGAGAACAACCATGCACCATATGTAGAACACGCTGCTACTGCTCGTGTACACACTTTTTTTTTCCACCATTAGAAATAATTCCTTGTGGGTATTTCCTTCAACAACAACCGCTAACAACTGTTTTTTAGAAGGATTCCTGGAGCCCGCATGTCCTACAATTTACTGGCGGCAAATCAGAGAAGTGTTGACGCCGCTACTCAGGAGTCGTTCAGGTTTTTCTTGTCTTTCTATTGACTGTGGAGTCACTGAGTCAACAGCTCTACAAGCCATTCACGGCTATTAGCTTTTAGCTGCAAGCTGACCTCACCTTGGCTGGAGCGCCCACACACACACACACACACACATACACACACACACTCAGGCACACACACATACACACAACCTTGAATATTTCCATGATAAAAAGAAGCAGAGAAAAGAGCAGCCAAAAAAAAAAAAAAAAAACCTGCGCGGACACAATGAGCGCTGCTCTGAGGGCACACACACACATTCACAAAGAGCCACTGAATCACTGCTTCACCTGTTCTCACCTGTTACCTGTGCAACATGACACAATTGCTGCTCTAACAATGAGACCGATACAACAAACCCACAGTCCTTCGCAACGGCAACTGCACGTCGGATCTGGCAGCGACAGACAGACGCTGTGAGTTAAATCAAGTCCTGGTTCATTTTCACCGTACGTGATCAATGAACACCGTGAGAGATTTGACTGACGAGTCATTATCTAATTCCATCAAAACGTGTATTAAATATATTTGTTTCTATGTTTCATAAATACATGCCAGGCCTTATTTTATCTTAATACATATTTTTGTCTTTTATATCCACATTTCATCTCACATCTCTCTTTCTTTTTTTTTTTTGTTTAATTCTGTTCTAGAGTTCTAAAGTTCAATGGTTAACATCAAGCCAGATCATTCACCTTCAAGTTAAATCTTCAACATTGTATTTTTTTTTTTTTTTTTGGAAAAATGTGCCAATCAGCTTCAGTCTCAGGCCAGGAGATATTTTTTTGTTTTACAAAAAAAAACACATGCAGCCAATTGATTTTTTTCAGGGTTCATGAATGCAAATAAAATAAACAAAACAACAATCAACGACCAGTGACAAGGATGCAGATGTAAAGTGGATCGCAATAAACCAACAGACACAGGTTTACAGGTACAGTCAGACGGACCAGTTCATTTCACTGAGAACTGAGGTCACAGACAAAAACCAACAGACAACTGACAGGAGATAATAACCATTATAATCTAGATAAGGGTCATAAATTACCCAAATTTATCTCAAATATATCTGAAATACATAGGCCCACATCAACACCAACACCATTGAAGGCTGGCTACAGTGGTTTTAAACGAGGCTTGGAAAGGCAGAATCCTGCTAGCCAACCGCCGTCAACACTTGAAGTATCTAAGACTTGAGCCTCTAGTCTACCAAGAGGTCTTATAGTATCTGGGCAGGCGTGGTACATCCAGAATCAACTGTGTCGCAATTTTGTTTTTTAAACTACCCTTAGTATAAGTATGAACAATCCATTTAAGATCAATTGAGCAGAGCGTTAGTTTAAAAATTCAGGTCCTAAGATTAGATGCCGATCTTAACGCTAAGGCGTGCAGAATCTAATCGTGGCCTCGAAACGATAACTTGACATATCCATTTTGAGGCCCACGCAAGTTCACTAAACGTCACAGGTATTACGCCTGTTCCCAACAATGTAGGACTTCATAGGTGCGGGCTAAAAATCAAATTAGGCGTACTATCGTATTTTATGTGCCACATGATTTTCGTTGTCCGTTTGTTCATCACTCTACATGCCTTCGTAAACTAACAAACAAACTAGAAATTGTAAGGAAAGTTTAGGCGTTCACTAACGTTAAAAATGTTAGGAAAGACTTTTCAGAGATTCCAAAACCCGGTAGAGAACTTCCTGTTATGTTCTAGGATCTTACCTGGCAACCTTAATCTGTGAAGTTGTTAGATAATCCATCAAACATAATTTACTGGCATAGCTACAATTTACGGCTTCAAAACCCATAACATTTTCATCTTGTTTACAACGGAGAACCTGTGATAGTACCTGTATTCCACAAAGGGTCTCTTTGTGGAATGCAGTTCGTCATTCCAGGTTTTCGGAGGCGCTAGTATTTGGTAATATTCACCTAAATTCCATTTCACTTTATAGTCAAAGATAAAGTGTTACAGATCAATCGTACACAGTGCAGTTCTGTTTGGTTCTGCACAGAGACTGTGTATCTGTGTGTACCTGGCAGAACACACTACTAGTACGGGTTCTACCGTCAGCTGCCTCGTATTAAAACCCGTCTCTGTCTCCGTCTATAGGGGCAGACACACCTCCCCTTTGCTGTATATGGTGCTCGGGCTGTTACATAACACCAACCTACTTTCTTACCAACTTTAAGTAAATAGCAGCCTATATGGGGAGGGTGGTGTCGGTGGTGCCCAACGCTCACATTATTTTATTGGAGGTAAATGAGCGTTGAAGGTAGTTAGAACACGCACAACAACCTCCTCTTGTTCGTCGTGTTTCTGCCCCTCGGTCCAACAGGTTGTTCGCTGCCCCAGTGACACGTGTGGCCAAACTTCTGTCCTGCTTCCCCCTCTCCCCCCGGCACCAATACCCC